CAACCTGCGACTGCTCATTACCAACCTTGGCTTGTTTACTGACCATGCTTCCGTTTGATGCTTACCTGCTTATACGCTACTGGACCCCAGCTTGCTTGCCTCCTGGTGGGGTGATCCTGAGGACCGTGACCTGGTAATAACACGCAGCAAAATCCATCTCCACCATCAGGAGCTCTGGTGAACACCGGTTGGTACTTAAACTCTGCACCTCGGGTGATCCCACTCCTCCGCCACGGTGACCTGCCTGTGTACCTATCCTGCTGGTTTCAGGTGAGCCTTTCCACTGCTATAGCAACTGGTCTTTGAGCCTGACCCCTGATTGTGACAGCTGAGCTCCTAAACTAACAAGCCAGTTACGACAGACTGCAACAGCTCAGAGGTAAGGTAGCTAGGTAAAGTCCTTTGCAGTAGTAGTACTTGGACAGTACTCTGCACAACACTAGCCAGTGTTCCATTTTTTTAGACCCACGCTGACAATAAAGCACCCGGGGAGGTAGCAAGCAGAGTTCCCAAATTCCTCAAAGTCATTACTCATGAGGCTCATGGACAGAATGGTTGCCTCCTTCCAATCTTCCAAGGGAAACCCTCCTGTGATACCAGACAGAGCTTTGGTGGACAGCTCCCCTCAGCTTCCTGAACAACCAGGGTCACTCTCTCTAACTTCAGACCCTCAGGTCGACCCACATATGACCATATGGCAGCAGTTGCCAGGTGAGGCAGTCTGCCTCCAGCCTAGCTGGTGCAATCCTCTCCGGGGAAAGACCCTGAACCCATGTGCTCCTAGAACATAAATACCACTCCCAGCATGCAATGGGACTGCCTTCCCTTGGAATTGGCAACCAAACAGATTTCCCGTGGGCTGTATCCATATTCATGCTGTTCCTTTGCCCCTACCCATGTTCTGGAAGGCTCTCATAATTTCCTGAAGGCAGGCAGAACTCAGACAAACTTCAACAGCACCAGAGCAACATGAGCAGACCTGACTAAGAGATCACAGCCCTCTGTTAAGCACAATACCACACTGAATTTACCTGACGACCTCTCTGGTAAGCAGAGAAACACAACTATGCCTAATCTAACTATACACATCCTAGCACCTGTCTAGGAGGGGGCTACACAATATTATACAGTTGCAAGAAAAAGTATGTGAACCCCTTGGGATTACGTGGAGTTTTGCATGAATTGGGCATAAAATGTGCTCTGAACATCATCTAAGTCACAACAATAGAAGAACACAGTCTGCTGAACATAATACTACACAAACATTAGATGTTGCCATGGTTTAATTGCACATAACATGTAAACATTCACAGTGCAGGGAGGAAAAAGTATGTGAGGCCCTAGCTTAATGACTTCCCCCAGAGCTAATTGGAGCCAGGAGTGAGCCAACCTTGACTCCAATCAGTGTGATGATATTGGATGTGTTGCTGACAGCTGTCCTGCCCTTAAAAAACACACCTGTTTTGGGTTTACTGGTTTCAAGAAGCACTGTCTGATGTGAACCATGCCTCGCAGAAAAGAGCTCTCAGAAGACCTACAGTCAAGCATTGTTGACTTGCATGAAGCTGGAAAGGGTTACAAAAGTATCTCCAAAAGCCTTGATGTTCATGTGTCCACGGTAAGACAGACTGTCTACAAATGGAGAAAGTTTAGCACTGTTGCTACTCTCCCTAGGCGTGGTCGTCCTGTAAAAATGACTGCAAGAGCACAGCGCAGAATGCTGCATGAGGTAAAGAAGAATCCCAGAGTGTCAGCTAAAGACCTACAGAAATCTCTGGCACATGCTAACATTTTTGTTGACACATCTACAATAAGGAAAACATTAAACAAGAATGAAGTACATGGGAGGACACCACGGAGGAAGCCATTGCTGTCCAAAAAGAATATTGCAGCACGTTTGAAGTTTGCAAAAGAGCACCTGGATGTTCCACAGCACTACTGGCAGAATATACTGTGGACAGATGAAACCAAGATTGAGTTGTTTGGGAAGAACACACAACACTATGTGTGGAGAAAAAAAGGCACAGCACACCAACATCAAAACCTCATCCCCACTGTGAAACATGGCGGAGGGAACATCATGGTTTGGGGCTGCTTTGCTGCCTCAGGGCCTGGACGGATTGTTGTCATTGATGGGAAAATTAATTCCAGAGTTTATCAAGACATTTTGCAGGAAAACGTACGACCATCTGTCTGCCAACTGAAGCTCCGCAGAGAGGATGGGTGATGCAACAGGACAATGACCCAAAGCATACAAGTAATTCAACAAAACAATGGCTGCAACAGCACAGAATACGCCTTCTGGAGTGGCCCAGTCAGAGTCTTGACCTCAACCCCATTGAAATGCTGTGGCATGACCTTAAGAGAGCGATTCACACCAGACACCCCAAGAATATTGCTACACTGAAACAGTTTTGTGAAGAGGAGTGGTCCAAAATGACTCCAGATCGTTGTGCAGGTCTGATCTGCAACTACAGGAAACGTTTGGTTGAGGTTATTGCTGCCAAAGGAGGGTCAACCAGTTATTAAGTCCAAAGGTTCACATACTTTTTCCTCCCTGCACTGTGAATGTTTACATGTTATGTGCAATTAAACCATGGCAACATCTAATGTTTGTGTAGTATTATGTTCAGCAGACTGTGTTCTTTTATTGTTGTGACTTAGATGACGTTCAGAGCACATTTTATGCCCAATTCATGCAAAACTCCACGTAATCCCAAGGGGTTCACATACTTTTTTCTTGCAACTGTATATGAGAGACACACAAAAAACTTTGGTAGAGGCAATGAAAATAATAGATACATTTGGAACTACTCGGGTTTAAAAATGAATTGGCAGAAATTTGTTTGGTTGCCAATTAATCAAGATGCACAGGGGAATGAGGATTCATCTTCTCTGCTGAGGATAGTGGATTCATCCAAATATTTGGGCATCTATATTACTCTGAATCTGAATTAGTTTCTGATGGCTAATGTGTATCCTCTATTGGAACAGATTAAAAGTAAATTAGGAGCATGGACAAAATTACCATTGTCGGTGACAGATAGAATACAGCTAATTAACCCCTTCCAGTCCGGACACTTCCCCCCCCTTCCAGTCCGGACACTTTCCCCCCCTTCCAGTCCGGACACTTTCCCCCCTTCCAGTCCGGACACTTTCCCCCCTTCCAGTCTGGCCGCTTCCCCCGCTTCCAGTCCGGACACTTTCCCCCCCCTTCCAGTCCGGACCTTTCACCCCCTTCCAGTCCGGACACTTTCACCCCCTTCCAGTCCGGACACTTTCACCCCCTTCCAGTCCGGACACACTTTCCCCCCTTCCAGTCTGGACGCTTCCCCCGCTTCCAGTCCGGACACTTTCCCCCCTTCCAGTCCGGACACTTTCCCCCCCCCTTCCAGTCCGGACACTTTCACCCCCTTCCAGTCCGCACACTTTCCCCCCCCCTTCCAGTCCGGACACTTTCCCCCCCCCTTCCAGTCCGGACACTTTTATTTTGGTGGTATTTATTCACAGCTGGGATTTTTATTTTTTTTGCTATGTAAATGAAAAAGTCCAAAAATTTTGAAAAAAAGTGTTTTTTTTATAAAATTTTGCAAATAAATAATATTTCATCATAAATCTTTGCCAAAATTTATTCTGTTATCTTTTGAGTAAAAAAAAAATCCAAATTAGTTTATAACCAAAAATTATAATTTTTAAACATTTTTATATTATTTTTTATTTATTTTATTTTTTTACATACTGTCACCCTAGCAGTACAGTGTCACCATGGTGACACTGTACTACTTGTGGGGGGTGATAAAGATTTTTTTTTTTTTTTTTTTTACACATTGCTTTTACACCCATATAGGATGTAAAAGCAATCATTTCTCCTTCTCTCTGTCTGCATTCTTGCACTCATTGAGAAGTACTGAGTGAGCTGTGATTGGTCACAGCTTGTCACATGGTACAAGGCTGTTGTGAATAGCCTTGTACCATGTGATCTCTGTGATCATTCACAGATTTCACACGTAGTAAGCAATGATGTGTAAGCAATGAAGTGACATCTTGTTTACTACTTTGCATGTGATCACTGATTGGCCAATCAGTGATCACATGATCGGGACCTCGTACACAGAGGTCCCGTCCGACGATCAGTGTTTCACTGTGTCCGGAGGACACAGCGGGCACAGGATCGCGGTGCTGCGCGCTCCCAGGGAGCGCGCACAAGCAGGGGGCGGGGAGGCTGTTTATAAACGGCCACCCAACCCTGCACTGCCACCGTCCGGCCGTTTATATGCAACGGCCGGTCAGGAAGTGGTTAAGATGATAGTGTTACGTAAATGTTCATATGTACTTTCCCTGTGATTATACCCAAACATATATTTAGAAAGTTGAATGATCAATTTATTAAATTTATATGGGCCAACGGTAGGACAAAATTAAAAATAACAACACTTCAACGACCAAAGAAGGAAGCAGGGATGGCACTTCCAGATATTTATTTATATTAATTGGCAGAACAATTGAAACATTTACAGGTATGGGTATAACAAGAGGGAGAGGGAGGGGTGGAGAAATATAAAAAATCCTTCAATTAGGTGAATAATAGTTGGATTGGAGACAAAGTTGAAGTTACCTATGGTCAAGATTCCCTTTTTGACATTGACAAGAGCAGCATGGAATGAGGTTAAGAAATTGATAAGATTTAAAGATATACCTCAGGAAACCCCAATGTTTAATAGTCCATCTTTAGAACAGCTAAATGGAATTGCAGATGGAAAATTTGGGAAACAGAGAGTTATATCAATGTTAGTACACATGTACAAACAAGAGATTATGCGAACATTTGAAAATTTGAAGAAACAACATGCTATTCCCCATACATTTTTTTTATAGGTACCGTATTTCGCGCTCCATAAGACACACCTAGGTTTCAGAGGTGAAAAACAAGAAAAAAATCTTCTGAACCAATGGACTGCAGACACAGTACAGGAGATGACCAGAGACTGCGGACATAGTACAGGAGATGACCAGAGACTGCAGACACAGTACAGGAGATGACCAGAGACTGCAGACATAGTACAGGAGATGACCAGAGACTGCAGACACAGTACAGGAGATGACCAGAGACTGCAGACATAGTACAGGAGATGACCAGAGACTGCGGACACAGTACAGGAGATGACCAGAGACTGCAGACATAGTACAGGAGATGACCAGAGACTGCGGACACAGTACAGGAGATGACCAGAGACTGCAGACATAGTACAGGAGATGACCAGAGACTGCGGACACAGTACAGGAGATGACCGGAGACTGCAGACATAGTACAGGAGATGACCAGAGACTGCGGACAGTACAGGAGATGACCAGAGACTGCGGACACAGTACAGGAGATGACCAGAGACTGCAGACACAGTACAGGAGATGACCAGAGACTGCAGACATAGTACAGGAGATGACCAGAGACTGCGGACACAGTACAGGAGATGACCAGAGACTGCAGACATAGTACAGGAGATGACCAGAGACTGCGGACACAGTACAGGAGATGACCAGAGACTGCGGACACAGTACAGGAGATGACCAGAGACTGCGGACATAGTACAGGAGATGACCGGAGACTGCAGACACAGTACAGGGGATGACCAGAGACTGCGGACACAGTACAGGAGATGACCAGAGACTGCGGACACAGTACAGGGGATGACCAGAGACTGCGGACACACAACAGGGGATGACCAGAGACTGCGGACACAGTACAGGGGATGACCAGAGACTGCGGACACAGTACAGGAGATGACCAGAGACTGCAGACACAGTACAGGGGATGACCAGAGACTGCGGACACAGTACAGGGGATGACCAGAGACTGCGGACACAGTACAGGAGATGACCAGAGACTGCAGACATAGTACAGGAGATGACCAGAGACTGCGGACACAGTACAGGAGATGACCAGAGACTGCGGACACAGTACAGGAGATGACCAGAGACTGCAGACACAGTACAGGAGATGACCAGAGACTGCGGACATAGTACAGGAGATGACCAGAGACTGCGGACATAGTACAGGAGATGACCAGGGACTGCGGACACAGTACAGGAGATGATCAGAGACTGCGGACACAGTACAGGAGATGACCAGAGACTGAGGACACAGTACAGGAGATGACCAGAGACTGCGGACATAGTACAGGAGATGATCAGAGACTGCGGACACAGTACAGGAGATGACCAGAGACTGAGGACACAGTACAGGAGCTGACCAGAGACTGTGAACATAGTACAGGGAAAATGCCAGGGACTGCGGACACAGTACAGATGACCAGAGACTGCAGACAGTACAGGGGATGACCAAGAGACTGTGGACCTTTGGGGAAGGAGGGGGAGCGGGTACCTGAAGTTGTCCCTTTAGTGTGGGCACGCTGGCTTCTTCCTGCGCTGGCTTCTATGACAGCCGGGTGCCCACTACGCATGCACGAGAAGCGCTGCACTTTGTGAATGGCCCGGTGCCTTCTGGGACCTGTCATATGTCCCAGAAGTCGCCGGACCATTCACAAAGCGCAGCGTTTCTTGCGCATGTGTAGTGGGCACCTGGCTGTCACAGAAGCCGGCGCGGGAAGACTACAGCGCAGGAAAACTCAGAGCTGGACAGAGGAACAGGTAAGGTCCTGCAGGAGAGAAGAGCTGAGCGGCTTGCCCGATATTCTGACATGGTGGCAGCGGTGGAAATACCAGACCGGCCTCTCCATAAGACGCACTGACATTTTCCCCCCTTTTTTGGGGGGGAAAAAGTGCGTCTTATGGAGCGAAAAATACAGTATTTACAATTGAGGCATGCTTTAAATGCACAATTTGTTAAAGATTGTAGGATATAAAAATATTCCCTTATAGGAATCTTGAGGTCCAAGGGGCTGAAAGGATTAATATCAATTGTGACGGGAGTCACTTTGGGTGGGAGGCCCATGGAACACAGCTCACTTTGGAGAGGTGGGGAGACGCCTGTCTCAGCTCCCCATATCCCTATTATGTGTAAGTCACCCTGTGCCTGTTAGGGGTACAGGGTGATCTGTCCTAATATTGGGGGGGCTTTGTCTCAGACTGTGTAGACATGTCTAGGAGATAGGTGGGGTGGGGTGGGGTTGTGGATTGTTTGGTGATATGTGGTGGCATCCCATTGTTCTATTGTGTGTCTTGCTTGGGAGCAAACTATTATGGGATGTATGTGTTTATGTGTATTAGCTTAGTGGGGGGGGGGGGTGTCTCCAGCAGCCCTCCCTCCTGATGGGACTGTCTGCTGGAGTGAAGTTTGAATACCTGTGTGTCTCTTGTTACTAAATGTAGATTGCCCCGCCCTGCGTCATTATGCAGGGAGGGGGGATTGTCCCCTGAGTGTCTATTTCTTGTATCTGTGTTCAAATAAACTAGTCTACTTTCTGCCTTACTTCAAATCTGTGGTGTCTGTTGTCGGTGTTCAGACGGGGAAGCAGGCTGAGACGGTTCTGTTACATCAATATTATATTAATTCGTATAACAAGCTAAAATTGATGGAGAACCATTGAATGCGAGGGACATGACAAGAAATTATTCCATTTATAACAGGTAAGATATGGGAGGAGATATGTTCCTCGCACTCACCAGCAATTAATAAAATGACCCAACTGAATATTATACATCAAATGTATCTTAGTCCCTCTCAGTTGTATAGAATGGGTAGGAGGACTACGTCTGAATGTTTACGCTGTCTTCAAAGCGAAGCAGATTTTGGTCACTTGATATGGACATTTAGAGAGGTAAGGAGATACTGGAGTGAAGTAACAGATAAATTATCAGAAATACTTAAAAAGCTGGTACCTTGTAGTCCAGAAGAATGCTTAATGGGGATATTGGAGGATAAGAGATGGTCGAGATATGTAAAGATTTTTCTACAAGAAAATTATTTTCCATCTCATAGCAATCTGTTTTCATGCCATAATTATTTATGGCGCGAAAACAGATTGCTGTGAGATGGATGCAAAATAAACTCCCCTCTGTTAACCAAAGGATTGAAGCAGTTAATCATATTATATCATATTGTAATCTGGAGTAGCTCTGGAATGACCGCCAGCCAGTTTGTTGAAAGCAAAACCGTTCATTTATTTAGAGACAAGTTGTATAGCGAGCGCTCACTGTGGTAAAGATGTACTAAAAAGCTGCTAGAACACCAAAAAGGTAACCAACATAACCTTCCAAGATAAAATATAGGACAGAAAGGTGCAGCGCTAATGATAAAAGGTGAAAATATCAGCATATATTCAGTACTAAAGGTAAAATAAGAAAACATAAAATCATAAGATCGTCATAAATAAAAGTTCGATGCTCAATCTAGTGTCCACGAACATGCAAAGGGATGCAATGTGTCAATTCTACCGGGTCTCCTTTATAAATCAAGGTGAGTGATCCAAATGTGAGCAGGAAATATATTAAATGCGCACTCACCAGAAGTGCGTTAAAAAATACGCATGAAAGAAGTTTCTTCTCTTCAGGTACATCTAGGTTCTCCACACTCTCTGGTAAAGCTGCGTTCCCTAGTTCTCACTGGTCATCCATCCTGGTCAGGTTCCGTGGTACAATAGGCACTCATACCTCTCTGGAGTCCCTCCTTAACCTTGATACGCAATCATAAGGTAAGATGTCCAAGAGCTGTAGCCCCCCTGACACGTTTCGTGCTATGCACGTTCTCAAAGGGTCATGTAAGCCCATGTAATAATAAGATCAGCAATGTAAGGTAGGGGACGGCAGTAATCAGGATAATTGAAACGTGAGGTTGATTTAGTGTTTGGAAGGAAGATGTAGTAAATGTGTATTAAAAGAAATGTATTGTATTTTGTACTATGTATTTTAAATGTACAATAAGCAATAAAGACTATTAAAAAAAATAGTGGTGGTGTAGTAAGGAATGGAAATAGACAGAGATATAAGAACACTTTAGAGAGGTTTGAAAGGCGAGATAGGAAAATACGTTATGAAGAGAGTGAGAAGTTGGACAAGGTAGGGGAGGAGTGGGGAGTATGGGGCCCGGAGGAAGTATTACAAATGGGCATTAGGAGAAGACAATATATAGTAAGGAATTGGGGTCAACTGTATATCTAGAAGTTGTAGTAGAGTTTCTCAAAGGGGTCTACACATCTCCCAGGCTCTCCCATACACTTTTAGGGACCTCTGATTCCATATCTGGTTCCTGACCCTTTCCTATCTGATGACATCTGGATTGTTAACGTATACATGCGCGTCCGGTGGGTGCGCATTGCTTTTGCCACTGTTGCACTGGTGCTGGGTCCAGAGTTTCCGGAGCACGGGAGTCACCTCTATCCTATTTATTTTGTATTGGAACTTTTTTTTACCATTTTACTTGTATTGGATATCCATTGATTTTACAGATCACAAACTGACTGCACCATTGTGCTTTAAAAGGTCCACTTTAAATCCACATATGGACAGGATGGCTCCGCCTCCAGTTTGAGGTCACCTGTGCAGAATTTATTGGCATTCCCTCAATCCGTTTGTTGTAGACACTCTACTCTGGTGCTTTAGGTGACATTTTGTAGGCAAGACAATCAGAATATTCCATTGTTATCACACTTCTGCACTCAGAACCGCGAGGTGGCTAATATATAATACGTTATGGATGGAGTGTATCAGAGCCGCAATGAGAGGGGGTCAGACACAGGCCAGGTAGACTGTAAATGGAGATATTAATATATTTATTGTCTGTCCCTGGACATAGGAATGCATCAAACCTACAGCTTAAAGAGGACCTGTACTGTGAATGCTGTGGACAAAGGACTAGTCACCAGCAATGTCTGCGGTCTCCCTGCAGCTGATCTTCCCCCATGCCTTGTTCTGCTCTGTGTCTCTCTATGTGGAGGAGGCCATCTTCGTAGAGGCAGGACTATTCTTCCACGTCAGTGACACAACCCCATCCCCCCAACTGGTGATCTGATGACAGTAAATCCTCCTCTTCAGGGAAGCCTACCCCGACCTCACCTAACAACTAACCTCCTCCACTCCTCCCACCACTCCATCCCTCACAGCCATCTCCTCCTGCATCACCTTCCCCTCCCTCCTAGATTGTAAGCTCAAAAGAGCAGGGCCCCCGAACCCCTCGTGTATTGTATTGTTACTGTCTTGTCACATGTTCTGTCCCCCTTGCTATTGTACAGCGCTGAGCATACCCTTTGGCGCTATATAAATACTGTATAATAATAATATCCAGTTCGAGTTTTGCACCTCTCCCTTTTGGCAATTTAGGCAAACCTGGAACTCAGAGTAGGTGCTCTTGAGCCTGGGGGAACAGATAAGTCATGTCTGTGAGAGCTGTAAGGTTGGTAAAAGCTGTTAAACTGCATATGTGGAGACTGACACGAATTAGGCTTTCTCAGCCTATTAGTTAGGAAGTGGATTTGTATAGTTATTGCCAGGACATGGCTAGGATTTTGTTTTGGAATGTTTGCCCTATTTATATTTGTGAACACTGTACATCACACAGAACTTTTTGGAAAAATAATTATCTACCTGGGGGACCAATTTTTTGGTAAATTTGAAATAGAGTCTGTGAGGTCTGCAGAAAGTTTTTTGTTGTCTTGCTTAAATAGATTTTAAAAGCTGTGTAGTTAAATGTTGCATATTTCCAAGCTGCAGGTATTGCCTGTTTTGCAGAATTGAAGATACACTATATTGCCAAAAGTATCGAGACGCCTGCCTTTACATTGCACATGCACTTTTAATGTACTTTAATGGCCTCCCAGTCTTAGTCCGTAGGGTTCAATACTGAGTTGTGCAATCTTCGCAGCTATAACAGCTTCAACTCTTCTGGGAAGGCCGTCCACAAGGTTTAGGAGGGTGTCTATGGGAAGGTTGGACCATTCTTCCAGAAGCACATTTGTCAGGTCAGGCACTGATGTCGGGGGAGGAGGCCTGGCTCGCAGTCTCCGCTCTAATTCATTTCAAAGGTGTTCTATGGGGTTGAGGTCAGGACTCTGTGCAGGACAGTCAAGTTCCTCCACCCCAAGCTGGCTCCTCCATGTCTTTATGGACCTTGCTTTGTGCACTGGTGCTCAGTCATGTTGGAACAGGAAGGGGCCATCCCCAAACTCTTCCCACAAAGTTGGGAGCATGAAATTGTCCAAAATGTTTAGGTATGCTGACGCCCTAAGAGTTCCCTTCACAGGTACTAGGGGCCAAGCTCAACCACTGAAAAACAACCCCACACCATAATTGTCCCTCCACTAAACTTTACACTTGGCACAATGCAGTCAGGCAAGTACTGTCCCCCTGGCAACCACCAAACCCAGACACGTCCATCGGATTACCAGACAGAGAAGCGTGATTGGTCACTCCAGAGAACACATCTCCACTGCTCTAGAGTCCAGTGGCGGCGTGCTTTACACCACGGCATCCACCGCTTTGCATTGCACTTGGTGATGGAAGTCTTGGATGTATCTGCTTGGCCATGGAAGTCCATTCCATGAAGCTCTCTACGCACTGTTGTTGTGCCAACCTGAAGGCCACACCAAGTTTGGAGGTCTTTAACTATTGACTCTGCAGACAGTTGGCGACTTCTGCGCACTGTGCGCTTCAGCATGCGCTGACCCCGCCCTGTCATGTGACGTGGCCTACCACTTAGTGGCTGAGTGGCTGTTGTTCCCAGTGGCTTCCACTTTGTTATAATCCCACTAACAGTTGAGCGTGGAATATTTAGTAGCCAGGAAATGTCACGGATGGACTTATTGCACAGGTGGCCACCTATCACGGGACCACGCTTGGAGTCACTGAGCTCCTGAGAGCGACCCATTCTTTCACCAATGTTTGTAGAAGCCGTCTGCATGCCTAGGGGCTTGATTGTATACACCTGTGGCCATGGAGGTGATTGGAACACCTGAATCACATGATATGGAGGGGATTGGAGCACCTGAATCCAATAATTTGGAGGGCGGGGCCAATACTTTTGGCAATATAGTGTATGCATTTACACATGACACCATTCTGTCAGTTACAGGCAGCACTGCATACTCTCCTATGGAAGAAACAAATAACTCTATGAATAGCCTGCTCCCTGCTATGACTGGGGTAATTGATAATGTCACTTACGGATGTCATGTGGTCTGCCCAGTCTCTCCTCTATTGGCTTGTGTAGACTTCCTTGTGGGAAGTAAAGAGGCGTCCATACATGAAGTTGAGCGGTGGAGAATGCCATAGCCATTTATGATTGGCAGAGTATAGTGACAACTTGCTGGTGGGATCGGTCAGGTGTGTTTAGATTAGTATCCAAATATACCTGAGCTCATACCTGCCCAACAGCTTTTTCAGACATCTGTCTCACTCTCAGTTCCATGTTACGGTTTATATAAACTTTAAGATAACATTTGTGAGCATATATTATTTAGGGTGAAACTATTATGTTTTTTATTTCTTCTACAGTTTATCCTACAACAATCTGTCAGACAGTTCCTGCCTCCACCTGGCATTGGGAATAAGAAATAACCTAAACCTGAAGAAGCTGGACCTGTCTAATAACAATCTGCAGGGTCCTCATTTTAGTAACCTGATGACAGTTTTGACCACAAGCCGGATAGAGGAATTACTGTGAGTAAAATTGGATGAAAACTAAATTATTTCATATGCTTTTACATCCAAAACACAAAATATAATTAATTTATGATAAATTGATTAGTTTTCATTGCCATTTGTCATCACTGAAAAAGCCAACACCATGACTGTCCTCCCATTCAGCTACCCTCACTAAAAACATCTATAGCACCCTCCTAGATAGGTGCTAGGTTTAGATAGACAGGTTTGTTATGTGTTTTGATAGGTAACTTAAGTTACCACACTGTAGTCAGTGTGGCCGCAATTGTTATATAAAAGCATAGTACTCAGTGAAACTACATTCTGCTAGGTTGGTCTGCTTAGTGTGTTCAGCTGCTGTCAGTCTAACAGCTCCCTCTGCATCCAGAGAGCTAGAAAAGCTTCTGGATGATAGGTTTGGAGCTATGCAGATGGCAGCATGAATATTGATACAGCCCTGGTCTATCTCAGAGAGGCAGGCTCTAATGCAGGGGTGGGCAAACTTTTTGACTTGAGGGCCGCAATGGGTTCATATATTGGACCCGGGGGCCGGACTAGCTGCTGGCCGGCCCAGCCACTACCATGCCATCCATAGTAAGTATAGTAATATTCCCCCATAGTAAGCATAGTAATTAATCCCCCATATAGTAATTCATCCCCCATATAGTAATTCATCCCCCATAGTAATTCATCCCCCATAGTAATTCATCCCCCATAGTAATTCATCCCCCCTATAGTAATTCATCCCCCATAGTAATTCATCCCCCATAGTAATTCATCCCCCATAGTAATTCATCCCCCATATAGTAATTCATCCCCCCTATAGTAATTCATTCCCCATATTAATTCCTCCCCCATAGTAATTCATCCCCCATATAGTAATTCATCCCCCATAGTAATTCATCCCCCATATAGTAATTAATCCCCCATAGTAATTCATCCCCCATAGTAATTCATCCCCCATATAGTAATTCATCCCCCATATAGTAATTCATCCCCCATAGTAATTCATCCCCCATATTAATTCATCCCCCATATAGTAATTCATCCCCCATATAGTAATTCATCCCCCATATAGTAATTCATCCCCCATAGTAATTCATCCCCCATATAGTAATTCATCCCCCATAGTAATTCATTCCCCATATAGTAATTCATTCCCCATATTAATTCATCCCCCATAGTAATTCATCCCCCATATAGTAATTCATCCCCCATAGTAATTCATTCCCCATATAGTAATTCATTCCCCATATTAATTCATCCCCCATAGTAATTCATCCCCCATATAGTAATTCATCCCCCATATTAATTCATCCCCCATATAGTAATTCATCCCCCATATAGTAATTCATCCCCCATAGTAATTCATCCCCCATAGTAATTCATCCCCCATATAGTAATTCATCCCCCATAGTAATTCATTCCCCATATAGTAATTCATCCCCCATATAGTAATTCATCCCCCATAGTAATTCATCCCCCATATAGTAATTAATCCCCCATAGTAATTCATCCCCCATATAGTAATTCATCCCCCATATAGTAATTCATCCCCCATATTAATTCATCCCCCATAGTAATTCATCCCCCATATTAATTCATCCCCCATATAGTAATTCATCCCCCATATAGTAATTCATCCCCCATAGTAATTCATCCCCCATATAGTAATTCATCCCCCATAGTAATTCATTTCCCATATAGTAATTCATCCCCCATATAGTAATTCATCCCCCATATAGTAAGTCCCCCATATAGTAAGTCCCCCATATAGTAATTCATCCCCCATATAGTAAGTCCCCCATATAGTAAGTCCCCCATATAGTAAGTCCCCCCTGTGTCAATTCACTTACCTTTGCTCCGCGCGTTCCTCTCGCTGTGTTCCCGCGCCGTTCCGGTCTTCAGGGCGGACTGTGAGAGGAGCCTAGCTCCCCTCACGTTCGTCACGCTGCCCCGCCTACACACATCCTGACAGCCAATCACTGGCTATCAGGATGTGAGTGGCAGCGAGACTGGCCAATCATTGCATTTGAGCGCGCTGCCCTGGCTGTTTTATTTTGTATCACGCTCCGCAGGCCGGATTAAAAGGTCCGCCGGGCCGTAGTTTGCCCATTGCTGCTCTAATGGCATGCTGGGAGACTGTATATATTCAGTGAGCACACTGAGTTCTGGGTCTTTTACTGGAGAGGATTAGCCCAGCCTGGAGGGGCAGATTGTCCTCTCAGGAAATGCTGTTATGTCTAGTATTGTGAAGCCTCAGGTGGGCAACCTGAGGGCCTGGATGCTGAGACCCTGGAATTAAAGGAAGCTGACTGAGGGGGACTGTTTGATGAAGATCTGGTCTGGTAATAAGGTGTTGGATAAGGTGTTGCTTGGAAGTTGGAAAGAGGCGACCAGCTGTCCTTGGGCCTTGTGTGAGTACAGATGTTTCTGAAAGATCTTGGGGACCCTTGTGCTTAGGCCACCACTCTGATGCTAGAGAGTCAGCTGTGGGTCTAGTTAAATGGGACACCGGCTGATGTCCTGAAGAGCTTTGTCCAACTAGTCTTCTACCTAAAGGGGCTATGTTCTTGTGGCTCTAAGAAAGGAATTTACAGTTATCTACTCCTACTGTTACCTTAAAGCTGAAGTCTGCTGCAGTGTAAGTGCCAGTGAAGCCTGTTGGGAGACAAGGGAAAGTGCCGCTGGTCAGTATTTTACTGCCTGCTTTACAGTACAATCTGCTAATGCCAGAGTGTGTGATGGTGGGGAAAAGATTAACTCAGAGCGTGGGACAAAGTGCGCTGGAAGAGTCTATCGAACAGGAGAGGTGATCTCTAGTGAGCCAGCCTATCTGGAGGAGCTGGCGGGGTCATCACCCAGAGTTGGCCAGTCTGGGCAGAGCTGCAGCCAAAGGAGAGCCATGAGGAGTGAGTAGCAAGATGGTGTAGACAGATCTGAGTCTGAGAATCACAGTTGCTGCTGGAAGTGGCAGATATACAGACAGGCTAATGGAGCTGCAGAGCAGGATGCTAGCTGATACCGGAGTACAGTTAGCGCCACAGTGGTGTCTGGCGTTACGCAGCAAAAAGGACATGGAGTACATTGGGCTGATATGTGCAGGATGCCAGTGTGTCAAAGTGAAGCTGTGAGCCTGGGGTCGATGTAGCCACTGTGGGGAGATGCTACTTAAGTTTATACCCAGTGATCACCAACCCAAAGCCTTGCTTGCTTAGCGGGAGACAGGCTACTGTATGGAGATGCTGACCATTACTACTTTTAAAGCCCTTGAGGGAAACAGCAGTGTCAGATGGCTGTCTTGTGGACCTCAGAGACACACAGGACCCAGAGCCTAGAGTCTACAAGTTCCTCAGGTGAGGAGGGGCTGGGAGCAGTTGATGTGGGATCACTGAAATTTTAAAATATCTACGGGTCCATAGAGAAGAGGATAGAAGTGGGTTAGTAGTGTAGCCTGAGTAGGACTATGGAGCTGAGGAACGAGGGTTCACAGGTTTCTGACAGTGCCGAGAGGGAGCATGCTGCCTAATTGAGGCAGTGTACCAAGGGACTTGAGTTCTGCAAGATCTATATGGAGAAGAGGCCTGATCTACCCCTACCATGTACTATGACCCGAGCTTGAGCATAAAATTAGTTGTACAGCCACCTCATTAAAAGGGGCTAAGAGCCCTTTCATCCCACTAGGAAAAGGAGACCAGGATGAGCTGCCAATACTTTCATGCTTCCAGAGTATAGTCTAAAGGCAGGTGGCTCTCAAATATGGATATTATTTCCCCTATGTCTCACAGGAATTCATGGAAGAAATAGAGGTTGATAGGGTCTCCTGGTGTGAGAATGAAGTTTGGAACTTTATGTTCATGCCCAAGCAGTTCCGGAACCAAATATACCTCCATCTGTGGCAGCAGTTCCAGGCTATTAAGAGGAACTGGAGTTTATGCAGATCCATACGCATAGACAAGGTTCTGGTTAAAAAGGCTGGTCACAAGTACTGGAAGTGGTCCACCATAATGGAAAGATGGTCCAGATTCCAAGTCTGGAGTTTCATTGTTAAAGAGAAAAACTGGGAGTCCACCTGCACCGCCTCTGTTTGCATTGGGGTGGGCTTGTTCAGCCAGCTAAGTTGGTAAAGCTTCAGATGGCATCCACCCTGGATCCAAGTAATCAGGAAAGAAGAGAGACTCCTGACATATTTGTTGTTGGTCCAAAGTTTTTTTTTTTTGAGGGTGCAATCCCTCTAATTCCCACACACCCTTCCCTACTATCCTT